GTAGCGAGATTTACGATTGTATTTCGGGAAAAACTCAATAAAGTTTTCATTATTATTAGCATGATGAAGTCAGTACACAGGCGAAGACGTCCTAAGACTACATTCCGCAATTTTTGTACTCGTCAGTAGCAAGGTTTCGATATTTATTGCCGGATTTATTGTCGTTGGTAAGGAAGTTTGAATGATTCCGGCAAGTCTCTGCTTGTCGTCAGTTTTAATTTTCTCAAACAACATTACATACAAGTTCCATATTTTATTCCTGAGGCCTGCTGGAGCAACACCTAGCTTATTGCTTTTACTAGTTGTTCAGAACCAGAAAGTCGAACTCTCAATGGCGATTTCTAATACCTTAACACTGAATTTAAACCGGCATCATGCCACACTAAGATCAAGTCATGCGATGGCCAACAGCTCTGCTGGCCTTCTGTACTTTGTCTTTGGCTTAGTTCTGCTAACTTTGCATAAAGGCCAACCAAATCTGTGTGGAACCAAAAGCTGTAAACCCTACTGAATTGGCTCTGCTGAGTGTCGTCGGGTTACTTGTAAGTTAATGTATAAACATACGTTGGCTGTAATGTAGAGATATTTTTGAAATGCACAATATACATTATTTGTACACAAAAGTTGCGGAGTAAAAGGATCAATTAGTAGTTAACAGTTAACTGATATTTCATTATTTTGGCCCATAATATTATGACCAGTGCTCGTAAAATTCATCACAGTTAACTGAAATTCGACCAAAAATTATTAGTTAACTGACAAATTGGGCTCCCCCATTGGCACCCTCTTAAATAGTTTGATGCCTCCAATAATGTGTCTAAATAAACCCGTTGCGAAGTACGTTCTTTTTTACGCAAAAAAATCTAAATCCATAGTGTTTCAGTTTTCAATGAAATGAACTAATTATTGGCAAAGATGAGAATTATTGGCAATATTTTTATAAAATTGAAATTAAAACAGAAACGATGACACTTTGTGAAAAGGTTAAGCGTGACGTTACATGGTGTTTGTTTTCTGCGTTTCTTAAATTTCTATCACTCCTAGATCTTTGTTTTATTTTTCTATGAAACCTCCATTATTAAGCCTGTATATAAGTCCCGTTAGAATTCATTTTAAAATGCCATCCAAAAAAAAA